GGTGGTATGTGTGCCTGGCACTGGTGTTGGTGACAAACAAGCCATTTAAGCTCAGTCCTACCTGACCTCAGTGTGAATGGTCTTCTGTGACCTGATGCTGTTGCCTCTATGCCACCTCAGCTTGCTTTATTGAATAGTTCTGGATTTCCCACTCCTGGCTTGTTTTGGACATTTGCTTTGTTGTTAGTTACTGACCTCCGTCCTGGTCGTCTCACTATGCTGCTGATTTGTACTATACTGTCCACCGTCATCAACCCCGGCCTGTCCTTTCACCCTTCATCAGCGGACTGATTTGGTACCCTCATGTCCGTCTGCTGCTGACCCTGGCCTGTATCACACATCACTTGTACCACTCCGCTGCCCTTGTGTCATATTAATCAGGGGTGCCTGGATTGGAGGGGTATGAGAGGCCGCCTTCCTCACCTTGGACTCCCCCAGGTACATGAATATCTCAGGAAACATGGCTTCCCCGCTACACATAGAAATGAAGCTTTGGTATGATGATAACACGTTGATTGGATTATCTACATGTAATTCCCTGAAAGTTCATGTCCTTCTTTCTATTGTCCAACAGGTGGCGGGAGACCTCTGGTGGACACAAGTTATGGGAAACTCAGAGGGACGACGCTAACGGTAAAAGAGGCGGAGAGAGCTGTGCACGCTTTCTATGGAATCCCCTTTGCCAAACCACCAGTAGGACCGCTACGATTTGCAGCACCAGAACCACCCGAACCCTGGGGGATGGTGAGAGAGGCCGCAGAGTACCCACCCATGTGAGTACCGGCATGTGAGCTGATATGTTATTGGCTCAATAGACTCTACCTGGTGGAGTGTTACCTTAAAGCACCCAAATGCCCCTATAGAAGAGGCACATCACACTGGCCACATATGTCCCTTTCACTTCTCCAATGTGGTCCTCTCATTCCTCTAGCGTTGCTCTCCCAAAGCCCCAAAGTGGCCTCACACTTCTCAAATGTGGTCCTCCCACTCTTCCAATCAGGCCCTCCCACTTCTCCAATGTGTCCCTCTCATTCCTTTAGTGTAGTTCTCCCAAGCCCCAAAGTGGCCCTCACACTTCTCAAATGTGGTCCTCCCACTCCTCCAATTAAGCCCTCTCACTCCTTTAGTGTAGTTCTCCCAAAGCCCCAAAGTGGCCCTCACACTTCTCAAATGTGGTCCTCCCACTCCTCCAATGTGTCCCTCTCACTCCTCCAATGTGTCCCTCTCACTCCTCCAATGAGGCCTTCTCACACCCCAAATGTGTTCCCGCCACTCTTCTAATCTGGCTCTCCCACTTCTCCAATATGGCCCTCTCACTCCTTTAGTGTAGTTCTTCCAAAGCCCCTAAATGACCCTCTCACTCCTCCAATGTGTCCCCCTCACTCCTCCAATGAAGCCCTCTCACACCTCAAATGTGGTCCTCCCACTCTTTCAATGAGGCCTTCTCACACCTCTAGTGTAGTTCTCCCAAGACCCCACAATGCCCTCTCACTCCTCCAATGTGGTCCTTCCATTCCTCCATTGCAGCCCTCCTACTCCTCTAAGAGTAGCAGCAGATATATAAGGCCCCCTTGGTTTGATGGGCCCAGTGACAGTCACACACCCTACACCCCTTTTTAGTCACACATTAGTCACTGTCTCTTTCCAGGTGTCTCCAGCCGGTGGAACTGACCAAAAAAATGGGGGAATTCATGGAAATGGAGGTCACTTATCCTCCAGTGTCTGAGGACTGTCTGTACCTGAATGTCTTCACTCCATCTGACCGAGGCAACAACGCCAAGCTACCTGTAAGTGTCCTGGTTTTCCCTGTCTGCTGCCACCCGCCCAGCCCCCCTCATACTGTCACACTGCCACCAGGCTAACTGCAAACAGCAAATGATCTAAATGATCTTATCTCAGACTGTGGCCACCAGTAATTCCATCTCTCCCTCTCCCAGGTCATGGTGTTCATACACGGTGGTGGGCTGGTAATGGAGGCCGCCAGTCTGTATGACGGTTCCGCACTGAGCGCCATTGAAAACGTGGTTTATGTGGCAATCCAGTATAGACTGGGAATTCTGGGATTCCTCAGGTAGGTCTCAGTACGGCTGATGTCTCCTTCCATGAAGAGACAATTCTTTACAACAACTTCTAAAATCCATCTGTTTTGTACATAAATCGTATCTCTATCATTCTGTTTTTATACTGTTTGTATAATCTGAATTTCACTGATCTGAATTCAGGAGAGTCAAACACAGAGTGAACGAAGCGCATGAGAATAAAGTATTCCCCTCCTTCTCGCATACGATTGGCTGGCCTATGCGTCACTCCCAGTACTGAGCTGTAGCCCCTCCCCCTTCTCCCTCGTGTTACATTGTATCATTTCTGGCAGAAAAGGTTTGCTACAAACTTGTGTCAGGGTTACATTGTAATTCTTGTTACCTTGCTGCACATATTCCTGGCAGGTTGTAGACTCGCAGAACACTCGCAGCACAAGTTCTAGGCGACACTTTTAGAATTTGTAGCAGATTTGCTCGGCAAGTCTCCAGCGAGAGTCCCGCAGGTCTGAGGAAGAGCTCTGCAAGCTCGCTGGTCTGGAGACTCGCTGTAATTGCGCAACAAAATGGTGAAGCGCGGCGAGTCTGCAAGAGTTTAGCGAGTCATTTCCAAACTTGCAGCTCGATGGCTCGCTATCTGGGGACTGTCTTCTATCTTGTATGTATTGAATCCATTATATCGATCTTTCTGTAAATTTCCACATCTGTATCCCAGCACCGGAGACGGGCAGGCGGCCTCTGGAAATTACGGATACTTGGACCAGGTCGCGGCTCTGCGCTGGGTCCAGGAGAACATTAAGGATTTCGGAGGTGACCCCGCATCTGTCACTATATTCGGGGAGTCGGCGGGGGGTGTCAGCGTCTCTGCACTGGTCAGTTCTCAATGGCAGCTGCTGGAATATATCAAACATTCATATCGTACTGCAGGTCAGATCAGACCTGCAGGGCAGCCATCAGAAATTTTGGGGCCCCTTACACGGCTTCAGGCCGGGGCCCCCCGCCCGCGGCGCTGGAAGCAGGGCTTAGTGACGCGCTGGACGCAGGACCCACCTGAGAGTGACCCTGCAGAGCCCACCATAGATGCTGCACAGCCCATCTGAGACTGTCTATGGTGGGCTCTGAAGGGGTCTCAGGTGTGCTGGTCAGTGCTGCATCCCTCCCTCCTTTCCTTC